TAAACTATAAAATTTAATGAAATAAATGATCAATTTAAAATAAATACTGTTGAGGCTGGAGAGATTGCTCAGGGATTAAGAGCACCGGCTGCTTTTCCTCAGGACCCAGGTTCAGTCCCCAGAACTCACATGGCAGCTAACAACCACCCATAACTCCAGTTCCAGGGGATCCGATGCCTTCTTTTGACCACCACAGGCATTGCATGATGTGGGTATACTTACACACATGCAGGCAATACATTCACGCACATAAAATAAAAATAATAAATATTTTTTAAAAATAAGTAGTGTTGAAGAAGAGAACAGGGAAATTGTCGTATGGTTCCTGTACACATGAACTTTTAGTACAATGGAACTTTGTGAATTTTTCAGAGTATAATATGCTTTGTATAAGGCTTCTTTTCACAAATATATCCTTCAGACTGTTGATTTTATGTTTGCCTCAGATTTTTCTTTTCTAATGCAACAATATCATTTCTTATGTAAAAGCTGAGTTTCTGGGATGTAAGCTCGAGCAATAACCCTGAGACGGAGGATCTCAAACAGTCAGTAGAAACCTCTAGGCAAAGAAGCTGCTCTGAGCCGCATTTGCAATCTGCTGGAAGAAAATGCCCCAAAGAATATGAAACCTGTGTGCTTGTGTTAAGCATACTCATTTCCTTCTATGATATTTGACACCTAGGTAAGTGTACAAAAGAAGGTCCAGGCCTTGTTTCTGTCTGCTTGATGCATTTGAAGCTACATTAGTTATCTTTCTTGTTTATGTGATAAAGTGTAGAAGCAACTGAAGGAAGACAGGATGCGTTTTGGCTGACAGTTTAAGGACTGAGTCCAGCAAGCCACGGAAGGCATGGCAGAAAAAGGTTCAGAAAACTGGTCATTGAGATGCTTGGTGGCCATTTATGAAGCAAGATTCCATGCTCACAGATTATAGTTCCATCTGTTTCAAAATGCAGCTGGAAAATACAGCACACTGACCAAGAAAATCAGATATAAAATACCCAAGGACTCATACAGTTATGTCCAAAATAGTCAATGCATCGTGTCACTGTTAACAGTGACTGGGTGAGTAGACCGATGATTCATACAACTAAATGATTGGTCCTGTGGGAATGATGAGGATCAATGTTGATTTATAGCTCTGCTGCTTTGTTTCTGAGACATAGATTGCTTGCTTTTGATTCATTTGTTTACTTTTTGTTTTTCATTGAAGCTTTGCAATTTTCATACAATATAATTAGATGGTATTTAGATCCCCTCCCCTATCCACACCTCACATTATCGCCTCCAGCCCAATTTAATGTATTTATATATAAACTACCTGTGGAGTCTAAATTATGTCCCCAAATGTCCTTCAGTGTGGGTCCGTCCACTGGAAACTTGTTAACCTACCAGGAGTCCCATGTTTGAAAGAGACCGCCTCTGCCCCTCCCAGGAACCTTCTGTCTACTCAACTTCCTTAGGTGGTATTAGAGCATCTTGCTCACTTTCACATGTATATGCTGAGAATTTTTTGAGCTTGCATGGAATTTGTGCACACTGTCACCGTTGCTGTGAGTTCATATGAGTCACTGACCAGCTGTCTGGAAAACTCTGTTTCCTTGTGGTCGTCCACCACCTCTAGCTCTTACAATCTTTCTTTTTTAAAAAATATTTTATTATTTTTATTTTATGTGTATGTGTGTATTGCCTGCATGTAGGTAAGTGTACTTGTGTCGTGCAATGCCCGTGTAAGACAGAAGAGGCTGTCGGATCCCCTGGAACTGAAGTTACGGACAGTTGTTAGCTGTCATGTGGGTGCTGGTAGTCTAACCTGGATCTTCTGTAAGGACAACCAGTGTTCTTAACCACTGAGCCATCTCTCCAGCCCCTGGCTCTTACAATCTGTCTTCCTCAATGATTCCTGAGCCTTGAGAGGAGGAAGTTTGATAAATGTCCTGTTCAGGGATAAGCACTCTGCAGCCTCTTGTTCTCTGCACATTGTTCAGTTGTGGGTTTCTGTGTTAATCACCATCTGTTGCATAACTTCTCTGGTTGATAGTTGAGTGATGCATTCATCTATGTATGTAACAATAAATCATTAACAGTCAGTTTAAAAGCCGGGTGTGGTGAGGCACACCTTTAATCCCAGCACTCGGGAGGCAGAAGCAGGTGGATCTTTGTGAGTTCGAGGCCAGCCTGGTCTACTAGTGAGTTTCAAGACAGCTGGGGCTACAGGGAGACCCTGTCTCAAAAAGGCAAAAAAAAAAGAGAGTCAATTTAATATGATAATTAGTAGAGAAGCAGTATTATGTTCTGTGACCTATCTTAAGGGTTGACCCTACACTACATCAGCAGGAGCCTGGGTTCCCCTTTACATATGAGGGTCAGAGACAGTGATATTGCTACTACAAATCGAGAAACAGGTTTGAATCTGAGTAGAGCAGTTTAGACAACAGCATATACCAACTACTTTGCTTTGGGATCAACCTGAAACCAACAGCCTTTACAGAAACTCCAAAAATGAGTCTGCACACAGTCTCCAAATAAACTGTGTGTTGGCCTAAAATTGAAAAGTGGCTCAAAAAACTATATGAAACTATTTTGGAGATATAAGATAGTACAACAAGCAATTAACCTTAGAAGGAATATTTTCACATGTGGGTCAGCTGAGTAGAACCCCAAAACACATTCAGGGTGTTCATGTGGATGATAGGTGGGGCCCCTGAGGCCCCTCGGGATCATTTCTTCTCTTCTAGGACTGTCCTGTTCTGTAATGCAGTGACAATTTTTAATATTTTATGAACTTACCACTTGCTGATTTTAGGTCCCTATTAACATTATATGATTCATATCTGCATTCAGCGAGCAAAGTGTTCTGGAAAGATTAATGAAACAGAGCATAAACCGTCCTGTAATAAACATGTGAAGTGTGTTTCATGCAGTTTTTTAGTGAATAAAGTTAGATTATTTGGTTTATTCTGGTAATGACCATAATATATTTAAAGATAATTCGCTGCATCAATAGCTACATAAAGAAGTTTCAGAGGTGATGCTCTTCTAGTCGGTAAAAATGGCATAACCTGTAGAGCATCTTCCAGTGGAAGTGAATCTATGGTGGTCTGCATTTACCCTACATTCCTTCTCTCTACGGCAGAACCCAGATGCATTTATTTAAGGACACAATCCAGAGATTTTCAAGATCTTTGTGGTGGTAGTAATCAATTTCATTCCCTGGAAAATTTGGTTATTACATCTTGTCTGTGAACAGTGGAGAGGTTTAGAGTCTTATCCTTGGTATTGCTTACAGCAATGTCCCTAACTCCCCAGGTTAGGCAGCAATATGAGACTTTTGCCAGCAACTACACTTGTGAATTTCAATTACGTATTCAGGATCAAACAATAACTATAAA